CGCCAACGGGGATCACACGGCCCAAATCTGGAGGAGTGAGGGCCCCCATGGCAGCAACTCAGAGAGCTGGGAAGAGCCCCCCACCCCAGAGATGTCCTAGAGGTACCCAAGAAGCTCTGGAGCAGCAAGTCCTTGCAGGGAAGCTGGCGACCCACCCAACAAAACCCTCAGCTCACCGTGCCCTTGAGGGCATCAATCTCGCAGGTGTAGGACTGGATCTGGTGCCGGTACTCCAGCATCTCCTGTTTTGCCTGTCGCAGCGCATCGTTGTTCTTGTTGGCTGCCTGCGTCAGGTCAGACACCTGGGGAGACAGCAGGGTCAGTGGGCATGGCCACCAGGACAACCAGGACCCACCACAACAGGGCCAGCTTGGAGCCCACCACATCTCCACACCTTGGACTTGTACCACTCCTCAGCCTCAGCAATGTTCTTGGCAGCGATGCTCTCGTACTGAGCACGGATGTCCCGCAGAGCAGCCGTCAGGTCGGGCTTGGAGATGTCCATCTCCACCTGGATGTGCTGCTCCTGCAGCTGAGCCTGCAGCTCCCGGATTTCCTGGAGCAGGGGGCAAGGTGACACCTCAGAGCACCTGCTCCATTACCAGCGCCACAGGTGCCCTTGAGAAAGGGGACCACCCCTGACCTACCTCTTCGTGCACCTTCTTGAGGAAGGCGATCTCCTCCTGCAGGGACTCGATGCGTCTTTCCAGGTCAATGCGTGCCAGCGTGGCCGCATCCACGTCCTGGTGGGACACGATATGAGGGTTAGCAGGGGAGTGCAGGGAGAGCATCAGGGCTGGAAGGTGCAAAGCTGTGCCCAGGGCCATGCCCTGGCACTGGGACTGGTCTGTCAGGGGCAGATGGGGCTGGGAGGGGAGGTGGGGGTCCCGCGCCGTGTTGGGGAGGAATAGGTACTCACAGCTCTGAAAGCAGCCAGGTTGTTCTCAGCCTCCTCCTTCAGCTGGATCTCCTCTTGCAGCCTGTGAGCAGAGATGGGAGGTTAGGGGAGTCTGGAAGAACCCCCGTCCCCCAGTGGCGATGTCCCTCCTGAGCTGCCCCTGATCCCAGCATGGTCCGGTGGGAAGACGGCGGATTGTCCTGCGTTCCCGGCAGGCAGCAGGAGGGCTGGCGGAGGGCCAGGGGCTCTTCCTCCCATTCCCTATTATAGTCAACGCCGGAGGGAGCACAAAGGCATGAGGTCAGCTTGGTGCCACGCGCACTGCCCCGGCCCTTATAGGGGAGAGTGGCCAGCAGCCGGGGGGACAGGGTGCGGGATCCAGCACTGGGGGCACCAAGGGATGTCTGTCGGCTGAGCTGTTCCGGGGAGAGCAGGAGGACAGGCGGGTCTCAGCAATGCTGTGGGACAGGGGTATGGAGTGGGGATTGCAGGGGTGTGAGCCCAAGGTCAGGGTTAGAGAGCTGGGCTGTGCCAGGGGAGGGGACAGGGCTGCCCACTGCCAGTCAGAGGGGGAAGGCGGTGTGGAGGAGATGGAGGTGCCCTGAAGGTGCTGGCACACGGGGTGGCAGAAATCTGACACTCGTTTGTTCTTGGCCTTGCTCCTCCCCTGACATCGGGGGTGTCCCTCCATGCCAACACTCCCAGCATCCCAGCATCAGGGTCTCTGCCCCACCAGAACTCCAGTGCTGGCCACCTGAAGCAGAGGCTGGCGTTGTGGGGGGAGGCAGCAGGCCGGGGCCCCCCAGATGGGAACTTGGCATCCCTGGAACATAGGGACCAGGAAGGAAGGTGCAGAACAACATCAGAACAAGAGGCTCTCCCTGATTATCCACCCCTGCTGCCAGGTGCCCCCAGGCTGGTCAGTCCCTGGGGGGCTCCCTCAGCCTCACTGCCCTTGTGGCTCTTCTTCCCTGGCCGCAGCCCCCTCTCTGGTGCCAGGCAGAACTACAGCATCCTTGGGGTGTCCCTGCTGCTCCCAGGTCACTGCAGACACCCACAGCAGGCCTGGAGCATCCCTGGCCTGCGGAAGCGTAGCTGCTTCCTGCCCTCCGCCCTTCATGTCCGGAGCTGGTAGAGCATCCCGCCAGGTCATCCTCCCCCTCGCTTCCGCCTGCCTGCTTGACTCCATCTGTCTGTCTGTCTGTCTGTCCCACAGGGCTCAGCTCATCTGTGGGCTCACCAGCTCTCCCTGGTGTGAGCAGGGATGGGGATCCCGGGGTGGGGGCAATTTGATCCCTCAGATCTGGGGTCCTGTGTTATCACAGGCCAGCCTTGGTCCCACTGCAAGCAAGGGCATGGGGGGCACTCCTGCTGCCAGAGCCCTGCTCCCTGTTGCCTGGGCACCCTGTTGAGGCTCCCTGGGCACACCGGGCTGTGGGCACCTCCCTCGCCCTGCCCCGTGCTACCTGGCCCCATGTTATGGGTCAGGAAGAACCCGGCACTGGTGTTCCAGGTCACGGGTGCCCTTCTCCCTCCCAAAACTCACAGCCACAGTGTGAGGACCTGGCACCCTGCAAAGCTCCAGGGGAGTTAAGCTGGTAAGTGGCACAGCCAGGGTGCTCTCCCACCTTGGGGGACACGGTTGAGGGGAGTGAAGGAGTGGGGCCACGATGGGCTCTGAGTGTGGGGCACAGACAGCAGTGAGTACCCGAGGGACTCCCAGGGCAAACTCTGCCACCGCCCACCCCCAGGGATGGAGGTGCAGGGATGGATGCCTGCAGGGACATGCTAGGGCCCCTCCTCACCTCTGCTTGAGCTTCTGCAGATCATCGAGCAGGTTGTCACGCTCGACCTCGAGTCAGAGCATCTATCTGGCGGCAAAGCTCCCGCAGCTCCCCCTCGCACAGCTCGGCCACGCGGGTGGGCTCCTTGCCCCGCAGGCGGTTCACCTCGGCCACCATGAGAGCATTCTGCTGCTCCAAGAAGCGCACCTTCTCGATGTAGTTGGCAAAGCGGTCATTGAGCTCCTGCAGCTCCACCTTCTCGTTGGTGCGGGTCTGGAGGAACTCCTGGTTCATGGCATCAGCCAGGCTGAAGTCCAGCAACTCACCGGCACCTTGGTAGGCGCTTTGGTAGGAGCGCAGGGGTGTCACTCGGGTGGCGCGGAAGCTGGACAGGCTGGGGACGGCTGAGGTGCGGGACACCTGGTAGACGCGGGAGGTGACGGAGCTTCCGCTGCTGCCCTTGCCCCC